AAAATGCACACCTCTCACCACAATTGGGACCAGGCGACTCCACTCGGAAGGGATGCTTCTCTCAAATTTCCGCTCTAGGTACCGGCATTTATATCCTCTCTTGTGGCTGTGAGGACCATGGAGCTGTCACCTTCATGCCAACCCAAATCCTTTTTAGAGGCTCCTCCTTGTTTTCCCTTAGGTGGGAAAACTGGTAGCGTCTCCGGCCTCAAAGGGTGGTGCTGGGAAGTGAGCACCAGAGGACAACGTTCTCCCCAACCAGATACAGGGGTCCTGGAGGATCTGGAGAAAGGCTGGGAGCTGGTAGAGGTTCTAGATAGACCCAGAGGGGGGAAAACGGTGATTATCAAATGTCCTTCAGGCCATCCCAGGATCATCTTGACTGGCACCCGCCAACTCATCTAATTGCACTCGAGTTCTCTTTCCTTCACACAGAAAGGAGTTGTTGACAGTGTCTCTTTCCATAGAAAATACTCCTTGGAATGAGAATGTTGAAAAAATATTCAATTAATTTTTTTAAAATTTAATAAATTAATAAACACAAGTATTTAATCTCCTTGAACTATTTCATGTTGTAGGAATCCCTTATTTCTCCACCCGGAGAACTAAATTAGTGGGCCTGAACTCCCAGGATTCCTCAGCTAGCATATGGAATTCTGGGAGTGGAAGTCCACACAGCTTAAAGTCGTCAAGGTGGAGAAACCCTGATGTAAACACTTTATAATGTAGAAGAAAGTTCCTTACCAATGACCGTGAATTCACCCCAATTACTCCTTTGAGACAGAGATCTTCTGCCTCCCCTGTTTGTCCCCATGTAAGAACAAGAAAATGTTGCCTTGGGAGCCATTCGCCATGCAGGAATCAGCAGGGTATTTCCGATCTGTTCTGGATATTTCTCCCGTTCATCCTATTCGTTCACTTGATCGAAGACGTAATTCTCTCCCTTCTGCCCTTTTGGTGGGGAACATTTTAATTCGACCTGTTCTCCTTTTACGAGAATTTGGTGAGAAGGGGACCAGGACAGGGTGGGAGCTGCTGGGCCAAGTAGACCTCTGAAAATCTGAGAAACAAAGGAAATTTGAAAAGAACCCCATAAAAATCCATGCAAGCTTATACGCAAAATTGTGTTGCAAGAATGCAAGAGAAACCCTAGAAGTTGACAGAAACAGCCAACTTATCTCTTCATCATCATCTTCATTTAACAACCCCATAATCCCTTGCGGGGTGGAGTCTGGGCAACTGAATGGAGCGAGCAGAGTGTTTCCTGGCCGGATGCCCTTCCTGTCACCAATGCGGAGTTTTGGTCAACAGATATATTCTCATCGTGCCCAGAAAGAGAAATATCAGCCTCTACCTAGAATCGAACTCAAATTATCTCTTCTCAAATAAAAGTCTTTACAGGTAGTCCTTGACTTAGGACAGCCTGCTTAGTAAATCTTCAAAGTTACGACAGGCCACAAAAAAGCAACTTGCAACCCCAAATACTAAGTTCCGACAGCAGGCTGCATTATGGTCTTAAGTTGAGGATTATGTACACGTCTGATGACTAGAGAGTAGAGCATTACTCTCAACATCTCTACCAACCACAATGAACAATTCCTCAGCGGAGATCCAGACAAGTCAATTGAGAGCTAAGGATGGACTGAATGTGTCTTTCTGCATGCATCCCTGGACTACAATTCCCATCATCCCTTAGCAGTGGCCATATTGGACAGGGCTCATGACAGCTGGGATTCTGTAACATCTGGAGGGTCTCAGGGAGACCTCGATCATATTTCTTACAAACAGGAACCCTCGACCTAAATTCAACATAAGAGAGATCCTTCCTTTTGCCTGCAGATTCAGATCTCTGGCCTGGCCTGTTCATTTATTTATTAAAAGGCTTTTGCAAGACAGCCATGAATTAGCCTCAGTCAAAGCGGGTCCACCTGGTTCGTTTTGTTGATGCTTTTGCTCGATGGAGCTGTCGTTACAATCAAAATTCAGTTAACTTCTACTTTGACACTTGCCCCATGACGCTAAATTGGCTGGCCACAAATGTCGAAGTCACAGGAAATGCTAGTGAAGACTGGCGATTGTGGCTTTGTGACTGCGCTAAAGAATTTTGCAAAATGGGCCTATTTTCCTGGGCCCAGGAAAAGGGGGCGTGCAGCTTGCTTCATCTAGGGTCAAGAATCCCCAGAGGTAAAACCTTCATCGTTAGCATGTTGACCGACTTGAGCATTGAGCCCTGGCCAGCAAGATGCAGTTCAGGGATGAGAAAAGGAAGGTTTTTATACCTAGGAACAAAATCCAACAAAGCCAACAAAGAGTGCACAGGTATAAAAGTGCACTTGGCTCAACGGCAGCAATCTTTTTTTAAACAGTTTATTTATACAGGTTCATTTAACATACACAAGGGCTTTGTGAACAGTGTATTGCCTGGGTCCATTGGCTTCCATAATAATACTTTCCCCGTGTTGGAAGTTAAAACCCAGCTCTCTCCTAGAAAAATGAAATATTTTAGGATATACTAAAAAGGCAGAATATCTCCCCTGAAAGAGAAGTAAAAACTCACAGAGGCAGAAAATCAGCCCCACCCACCCCAGTGGCGGTATTCACATTTTTTTTACTACTGGTTCTGTGGGCGTGGCTTGGTGGGCAGGGCTTAGTAGGAGTGGCAGGGGAAGGATACTGCAAAATCCCCATTTCCTCCCCACCCCACTATCCTGCTTTCCTGCTCTGTTCTCCTGTGCAGGGCAACCAAAGAAGACCCAGCCAATCAGCTGGGACTCAAGGGGAGGCACAGAATAGACGGGGGCGGGGCCAGTCAGAGGTGGGATTTGCTGGGTCTCCGAACGACTCAAAATTTCTGCTGCCGGTTTTCTCCAGAATCTGTCAGAACTGGGTGAAGACCACCTCTGCCCCCCCTTCCCCATCTTTGTTAATAGACCATTAAGGCCTGGGCCAGCCTATTCTACATAACAAAAACCTACCTCCTTCAGGCAGAGCCATTCAACTGCCCTTCATTGCACCACTCACCAAGTTTCAGCCAAACTTAGCACACAGACAACCTACAAAACCTCCATGTTTCCAGTATCTTTTTCCCCACTTGGAACTGAACCTAGAAGGATATTTCTTTCAACATCCACTTCTAATTTCTCCCTCTATTATCCAAACATTTATAAAATAAGTCCCATGTTTGAAAATATTCTGTATCTTCTTTTCCTTTTATCTTTAATGTCAACCTATTCATTTCTACACAATGTAATATTTTTTTAATTGCACCTTCTTCTCTCGGTGTTTCCTCATTTTTCTAGTACTGTGCAAATACGATCCTTGCTGCTGTCAAAACATGTAGTATTAAATACAAATTCCCCTTATTGTATTTTTCTGGTATTATAACAAACAAAAATATTTCCGGCTTTTAATCTATATTCAGCTTTAACATTTTTTCTAACCATGTATGCATTTTTGTCCAATATTTGTTCTCTTTCACACATGTCCACCACATGTGATGGAAACTTGGAGTCCTAGTGGACTCTCGCTTCAATATGAGCCAGCAGTGTGTGGCAGCTGCCCCAAAAGCCCATACAATCCTAGGCTGCCTCACGGAGCGACGGATGGACACTAATCAAGGAGAGAAGAAACCTAGAACTAAGGATAAATTTCCTGACAGTGAGAACAATTCACCAGCGGAACAACTTGCCTCAAGAAGATGTGAATGCTCCAACACTGGATGTTTTAAAGAAGAGGTTGGATAACCATTTGTCTGAAATGGTAGAGGCTCTCCTGCCTGAACAAGGGGTTGGACTAGAAGACCTCCAAGGTCCCTTCCAACTCTGTTATCCTATTCTATCGCAAGAAGAGACAGCACTGCTTTATTCTGCCCTGGTGAAGCTACACCTGGAATATCGAGTCTAGTTTTGGCTGCCATGACATGAAAAAGATGTCGAGACTCTAAAAAGTGCAGAGATAAATTAGGTGACTGGAAGCTAAACTCTATGATGAACGATTGGGGGAATTTGTCTAGTCTAACAAAGAGAAGGATTAAGGGGAGATACGATAGCTTTTTCTTTCTTTCTTTCTTTCTTTCTTTCTTTCTTTCTTTCTTTCTTT